GCGCACCCTCGGCGGGCGGCTGCGCGGCCTCCCCGGCCTCCGCAGCCCCGCCCCAGGGCCCCGCGCCGAGGCCGAGCGGAAGGCCTTCAACACCCTCATCCAGGGAAGCGCGGCGGACCTGATGAAGCTCGCGATGCTCGCGGTGGAGCAGGAGGTCCTGCGTGGGGCCGGCGGCGACGCCCGCCTGCTCAGCCAAATCCACGACGAGCTCGTCTTCGCGGTGAGGGCCGAGGCCCTGCGCGAGGTCGTCCCCCGCATCGTCCACGCCATGACCCACGCGATGTCCCTCCTCGTCCCGATCGGCGTCCACGTCAAGGTCGGGCCCTCGCTGGGGGAGCTCCGCGAGTGGTCGATCGACCACGATCTCGGGATCCAGTGAGGGGATCCTACCAGGCGAAATGAACAATGAGGGGGTTCGAACGACCTCGGAATTACATACTCTCCCTCTCTAGCCTCTTTTTTTTTAGGTTTTGAATTTGTCTGCTATACTTCCCGTAGGTAATAATATAAAAGTCATTTTGGGGGTGCAGAGGGGAAGAGGGGAATCCGGACCATGTTAGACTCCTGAATTCTTGCTTACTCAACCCCTCTGCGACTTTGGTAGAATGAAAACCATCACAAGGTTTGTCAAACAAACTACTTAGGCAATTAAAAAGTAAACAACAATGGGATAAGCTCATTAGCGTTTCCTCTCGCATTGATGATGGTTGCAATTGTGAATATCTTGTAATTCTGTGAGTTTTGTTCTCAGGTGAGGTGAAGGTGAAAAATTCTTGCCTTTTCTTCCGACTTTATATAGTAGTAGATATTTGCCTTAATATGTATCGATATACGAAAAAATTACCCAAGCGTTACATATGTTTAGATGGATTCAAAATATAGTATGGGGAACTGAAGATGGAGCAGGTCCAGATAGAGATGAACTCGAGCTAGGGCACCATACACACTATGAGTTAGCTAAACTAAATCAGGATCTTGACGCTAATAGAAAGGAAATCACACGTTGTCAGACTGAACTTGCTCGCACACGCGCTATGATTGTGCGCCTGTTGGAGGAAACTGAAGCAATTCTCATTGAAAGCTACGACTCACTTCTACAGAATCGTGGAAATTTAGAGGTATCTGGAGAAAGGGATGATGGATGCGAAACAGCAGAATCAAGGTTCATGTGCTCACTAGATGATGAACCCTTAGAAAAGGAGCGTTACGAAGTCCGTCAACAGGCAAATATGTATATGGAAACTCTCTACAATGTTGCGGACGAGTTGTCAAATCGCATTTTTATATTAGAGATGCAGGTGCTCTGTCAGAAAGCTGAGCGCGATTCCTTGATTCTTCAACTTCAGGGTAACAACATGGAACTGGAACCTATGCCACCTGAAGACCAGCCCCCCTCATCTATTGTAATTGATACGAGAGAAAAATGGAATGCTTCCCTTTAATTAAAAAAAATGAAAAACAAACAAACGAGACACAACATTGTAAACTGAAATAACTCGTTTAATAGACTTTCGTTTTTTTATTACTTTTCACTGAGCATTTGTCCTCGATTATACGCCTAATAATGATACCTTATGCCTATTTTAAAAAATTTGCGCTACAAAAAAACACCTATTTTATTATTGTCAGCCACTTCGTGTGGCCTTATGAATCGACAAAGATCATAAATCTTCAAAAAAAAAAACGAATCGATATGTCAATGATCTGGGATCTCAAACCAATAATAAATATCACTCTTGGAAGTGAAGTTCCGCGCAGGGCCCTTGAACTACCCTGTTAGTACTTACAAGTCGACACCACAGAATTTCAAAGTGTAGCTATCGAAGTAGCTCGAAGAGATGGCGTCGATCAAGTATTACATGACAAAAAAAATCTACCGCATTTAATACACCAAAATGAAAAAGGGAAGATGTGCAACTTTTAGTTTGGGGGAACATTACTAAAGCTGTGTAATTTTGTTTTCGACCTACTGAATGAAGGAACAATATGGTATTAACTGTCTATTTTTGTATTAATTTTTATAGTGATAAAAAATAGTTTTAATTCCATATATTCAATCAATATAGACAATCATGTACACTGAGAAACCTCCCATATACTCTGACACTTTAAGCGAAATAGACAGTATCAACCCTCCTGTGGCTGAAATAGAAAGCAACAAGGATGAACACATCCTACGGCTCATTTTAGAAAAACATGAATCTGAAAAAACGATCAGAGAACTCCAGGAAAAGGTTTATATTTTAAACATCGAGGTGGAGCAATTCCGAAAGGAAAGAAATGCCATTCCGGAGCCTGTTACCTTTGAGGATTGTTCGCTTGCGATGGGAAAGGATTCTTTGGTGTATCATAAAAGCGACGTCCTGCAACTTACGACCTTAAACACCGAGCTCATCGGGGCGGTTGAAAGGCTGCAAGGGATACTAACGCATATGAAATCCGAAACCGATGCGGAGAGGCTCCGCTTTCAGGAAACCATCAAGAAGCTCGAGGAGGGTCAAACCGCGATTCAAAATGAAAATGACTCCTTGAAAGCGCGCCTGGTGGGGGATATTTTTCGACAGCGGCAGGTGAATCGGATGGAGGTGGCGGCGGATAAGCTGCGAATGCTCGCAAAGCTTCGACTGGCAGGGCGGCAGCGGCTGGAGGCGACTGAGGAGGTCCTGATGGAAGCCCATGATGATCTCTATCATATCCAGCGCTGCGATGCCCTTTTCGCACCTCATCGGGAGGTTTCCTTCGTCTTTCAGTGCGTTTCCGCCGTCGGGAAGACCGACCGTACGGTTGAAGAACTCGTGCGGGGCGTGTATGATCAACTCCTCATCACGGCCTGCAGAAAGTTTCACGGCTATCGCACCTGCTCAGGGGGGAATATGGAGGTCTTTGCCTTTCAAAGCCCCCGTGATGCATTGTACTTTGCGAAGGAGTGCCATGAGCAGACGGTTAAGCTGCCCTGGCCCTCGCAAGTAGAGAAAGTGGAGTGTTTTGCTGCCCTTTCCGACATCAGCGGGGTGCTTTTTCGCGGGCCTCGTCTCCATACTTGCATCTACGCCTGCACGCCGGAGGTTGAGGTGGATCCGGTGAGCGGGCGGACGGCATTTTTCGGCGCCGCGTTGTTGGAAGGCTTGCAAACCGCGCTGGAGCTCTCCGTGGTTGGTGAAATCGTCGTGAACGACGCATGGGCCGATCTTCTTGTGCGAGATGCCCGCTTACAAAACAGTATGGAAATTAGCCATGGCGGGAATTCGTCAAAGCCATTGAAACGACCTAAATCTGATAACACCGCCTCCCTTTCCAACTTTATGGCGATGGGAGTTCGAAACACCCTAGGTGAGACGTGGGATGTTGTCACGCTTTCCGGAAAGCGACATATCGTGTGCTCGATTCTTCCAAAGTCCTTACAAGGAAGGCGAAACCTGGGGTTATGCGCGCTATGGCCGACGCCGACGTTTCCTGAAATAAACGGAGCCGACCCGCCCACTCTGATTAGCGAAGTTATGCAGGCGATGCGGCATACTCAACCTTCCCTGAAGGCGTCTCAACCCCTTCAGGATCGCATCCGCGACGGATTTCAAAAAATTCCGCCGTATACTGGAGATCCGTATACCAGGGGTGGGGAATTAACAAAGTTGCCTTTTGAAGAGAAATACGGCGAAAATCAGATGGAATCCTCTGAGGGTGGGGAGTCTGCCGTGAGTGTGGCCGCACTACTCTTAAAGTTGCGCACCCTTGAGCTAGCAGATAATCAACTGCTTTTTCACACTCGAAAAATTGAGGAGATCGGCGAAGCCTTGGAGGGAAAAGCCATGGAAGCTGAAGATCATTTTGTTTTGATCAAAAATGATCTTCTGAAGTTGTCAAAGACAGTGTACGTGTGCTGTATCGATATCGGCGATGATGAAATGTGGAGGCATACCTGCACGAGTAGCTCCTCCGAGGAAGAATATCTGCAGTTCCGGCGAACCCTTCAATCGTATGTGCATAATACCGCCCAAAAGCATCATGGATTCTTCTTGAAAGGCAACGATACGGATGCATTTGTGTATATGTTTACACAGGTCGAAAACGCACTCGCGTTTTCCTTGCAGGTCTATGTCATGGTGAATCAAGCCGGAAATAACGCCGTGAACCTCGTAGAGAAGAGCAAAACAGATGTGTTTTGGTTCCGCGGGGCGATCTCAACCCTTTCCATGCCTACGTTTCTTCGACATATCAAAAATGGCGTCTTCAAGTGCACTAATTCTCTTATTCGTCAATCTGCCAAGCTTTGTGCGGTCTCGCGCTATGGTGAGGTGTTAGCCATGGAGGATGCTATTCAAACCTACTACACAAAACAAGAAAACGTGGTGGATTCGCAGTATAATATCGTCAAACAGCGCGGTCTTTTTTTAAAAGGATTTCATAACCCGATTGTTGCCTACTCCATCCTCCCGAAAGCCTTTGCGTATCGTCGACAGAATCTCATGGAAAAGACGAACGACCTAGCGCCCTCTTCAGGAGTTCGCTCGATTGAGGTGGTATTGCTCAATGAAGCGAATGAAATATCGCACGCGACGGTGGAATCCCTTTTACAGCAGCAGCTTGAACGAATAGAACGCGGCGAGGCGGTTCGGCTTGCCGAGGAGGACGCCTTTGAAAAAGCCCCGGAGGTGGCGAAATTGGCGCTTTGCAATCAGTGGATGCTAACCAAACGCATGCAACATCTCCAACGAGGCGCGAACCCCGGGGAAAGGTCGAAAAAGGGCTTGAAACCTGTCAGCAACTCCCCCTTTAGCCTTTCCGTAGGTGGTAAAAACACGGGGGAGAGCGGGCAAAGGCCGAACGGGCCGCCGACCCCCCCCCTTCAGCCGCTGGCCTTTCTGTACTGCAATATGGCCCGAGCCGCGGCCCTCGCGCGGGAGCTACCGCCCTCGCTGGCCAAAGACGTCTTCGCGCACTACAACGC